TCCAAGTGGCCAATAAATATAAAAATTAACAGTAGGGAATTTAAATTAAAAAAACAATGTAATATTTTTCACCCATTCGAATGGCAAAATTTTCAAAGACCATTAGTATTTCTTGTTGGTGGAGGTATTCAAAAGAGAAAGTATTATTTCATGTTGAATATGAAAGAGAGTATGAAAATGTACAGTCATATAGAAACTATGGAAAACAGTCTAGCAACACCTGTTTAAGTTTACATAAATATGTTGACTTACCAGTTATACCCCAGACTCTGTCCCTAGAAGTAAAAAACTTATGTACCAGAAAATTGCCAAGTTTTGGCAAGAGTGCACAACAATGAAAACTAACACACACTGGACATGGCAGCTGATGCCTGTAATCCCAGCACTTTGGGAGGCTGAGAGGGGTGGATCACCTGAGGTCAGGAGTTTGAGACCAGCCTGGCCAACATGGCAAAACCCCGTCTCTACTAAAAATACAAAAATGAGCCAGGCATGGTGGCATGCGCCTGTAATCCCAGCTACTCGGGAGGCTGAGGCAGGAGAATTGCTTGAACCCAGGAGGCTGAGGTTGCAGTGAGCCAAGACTGCACCACTGCACTCCAGCCTAGACGACAGAGCAAGAATCTGCCAAACAAAACAAAACAAAAACTAACACACACTGCTAGTGGTAGTGTATATTGATGCAATCACTTTGAAAACCTGTTTGCCAGTGTCTTCTAAATCTGATCATGTGAATACTTGTGATGTAGAAATACCACTCTTGGTATATGTTCAATGGAGATGTGATGTGTGCACGTGCTCACCAGAAGCAATGTTGAAGAATAGTGACTGCAGCACTATTCACGGAAGCCTAAAACTGGAAACTGCCAATTATGGTTTGAATGTTTGTCCCCGTGAAACTCAGGTTGACATTTAATTGCCAATGGAACCGTATTCAGAGGTGGGCTCTTGAAGAGATGATTAGGCCATTAGGGCTCCACCCTCATGAGTGAGATTGGTTTTGCCGTAAAAGGGTAAGTTTGGCTTTCTCCTTCTCTCTCTTGGCTCTTCTCTTCTGCCATGTGAGGAACAATGTTCCTCCTCTCCAGAGAATGCCATTTTTAATATTATCCATTTAATCCTGGGCCCAGGATGAAAGAGGGCTTGGTCTTGGACTTCCCAGCAACTAGAACTATGAAATAAATTTCTGTTCTTTAGAAATTACCCAGTCTCAGGTATTCTGTTACAGAAACACAAAATGAACTAAGACAGTACCCAATATCCTTGAAGACTAGAATGGACAGATGAATTCTCACATTCTTTCAATGGTATACTGTCCAGGAATAAGAACAAACACTCCAAGCATCGATATGATTGAATCTCACAAAAGAAATCAGGCACAACGGCGTACAAATGCATACGTCCATTTATATACAACCTCCAAACACACAAAGCGTAGAAATTAGAAGGTAGCTGTTAGACTGCAAGCGGATAAGATGAAGGCTTTGGGGGCGCTGGTAATGTTCTATTTCTTGATCTAGAAGCTGATTATATGGATATGTTCGGTTTAAAAATTCATTGAGCTGTATACCTCCAATTTGTCCACCAAGTTGTTTTTTCTCCAAAACAATCATATGTGTAGGATTTTTAACGCATTGTTCTTAGAGAAAAGCTGTAAATAAGGCAAATGTTGATCAGTTGGATGATGGCCAATAAATTAAAAATCTGTTTACCCACATTATGGATATTACGCAGCCACTGAAATAAATGAATTGGTACTATACCAAATTTACATGTAATATCTTATTCGGGGAAGGCAAACAAAAACAAAGGCTGCATAGTGGCTGGGTGCGGGGCTCACACCTATAATCCCAGCACTCTGGGAGACTGAGACAGGAGCATCACTTGAGCCCAGGAATTTGAGACTAGCCTGAGCAACAGAGTGAGACCCCATCTCTACAAAAAATCAGCAGATTAGCCAGACAAGGTGGTATGCACCTGTGATTCCAGCTACATGAGAGGCTGAGGTAGGAAGATCGCTTCAGCCCAGGAGGTCAAGGCTGTAGTGAGCTGTGTTCATGCCACTGCCCTCCAGTCTGGGTGACAGAAAGTCTGTCTCATAAACAAAAGACAACTGCATTGTATACGTTAAACATGTAATCCTCATAACAACCCTAGAATATTGGTATAATTATTATTCTCATTTACAAATGAAGACAGAGAGGCAGGAGAGATTACTTAAATAACACATCTGAAAGTCACAACGCTGGTATAGGATAGAATATTCAGAAGCTAGAAATTCCTACCATTTCAATATAGAACCACATAGAGAACTCCTTTTATCAGTATGGAGACATTAATCAAAACTCTTCAGAAATGAAAGTTCCAGAAGATGCAAAGCCAAACAATAATATCACCATCCAGTCAATAGTTAAATGTCTTTTCTCAAGACTACTAATAGTGAATAATTTGTGGGGTGCTGACCAAGGCGTAAGTCCAAGCCTTTAACTTATTTTTTCTGTTAAACAACCCTACAACACATAGACAAATACTGCTGATCATATACATCCTACAGATTAATACCCAATTCCAGGTCTCATTTTCTCTGCCCAATCCTGCCTCTCCAACTTCATGGAATTCACATCAACTCTGAAGTGGGCAGATCTGGGCCTGCTCAAGTTCCAGCCTCGTATCAGCTGTGGACTTCAGATATGTAAGATAAATAAATCCTGATTATATTGTATTTTTATTTCTTTTCATTCATCTAGGTGAAGCTCAGATGTTACCTGCTCATTTATTCACTCATTCATGCATGCAGTTAGCGCAAATTGAGAACTTACATTATGCCAGAGTTGCTGGACTCATAAAAAGATGAATAAGTCATGTTATCTACCCTCTAGGAAGTCAGTCTTCTGAGAGAGATATCCTTACAAATGAACATACAAAATGTAGTGTCCTATAATATGGTTACTTTCTAAGTTGGAGGAAACAGTCAGCCCTGCCTGGAGGAATCAGACCTTCCAGGCTGAAGAGGAATTCACTCAGCAGCTAAGGATACGGCATGGGCAAAAATGCAAGAACCATTTACTAGGACAGTGCCATGATCAGATTTGGCTTTCAAACAACTAGACATGGATGTGAACTAAAAGTGAATAGAAAAAAAAGAGAGAGAGATAGACCAATGAAGAGGCAAAAAAATGAAGAAGCTTTGACCACGAGTGACATTGGGATGGGGGAAAAGGGACGGGTTGACTGAATTTTGAGGAAAGCAGATTCAGTAACCCTAGGTGACAGACTGAATGTGTAACGTAGAAGGGGGAGATGTGGAGGATAATTCTAAGCTGCTAGTTCAGGAGACTGAGTAGGTTGAGGTGCATTAAAATGAGACTGAACAATTTGAACAAAAGGAAACAGGGTTGGGGGTTTTTTTTCTCATTTTTGTGTTTGTTTATAATTTCAACTTTTAGATTCAAGGAGTATGTGTGCATGTTTGCTACATGGGTATAATGTGTGATGCTGAGGTTTGGAGAACAGTCGGTACCATCACCCAGGTAGTGAGCACAGTACCCAATAATTAGTTTGTCAACCCTTGCCTTCCTTCCTCCCTCTAGTAGTCCCCAGTGCCTATTGTTGCAGTCTTTGTATCTACAAGCACTCAATGTTTAGCTCCCACTTATAAATAAGAATCTGCAGTATTTTGTTTTCTATTCCTGTGTTAATTCATTTAGGAGAATGGTTTCCAGCTGCATCCATGTTGCTACAAATGACTTGATTTTATTATTTTTTATGGCTGTGTTGTATCCTATGGTATAAATGTGCTACATTCCCTGTATCCAATCCATGGTTGATGGGCATCTAGATTGCTTTCATGTCTTTGCTACTGTAAACAGTGCTGCAATGAACATACAAGCACATATGCCTTTTGGTAGAATAATTTATTTTCTTTTGGTTATTATAAACACCCAGCAATGAGATTACTGGGTCAAATGGTAGCTTTTTAAGTTTCTTGAGAAATCACCAAACAGCTTTCCACAATGTCTGAATTAATTTACATGCCCACCAAAAGTGTTTTCTTTTCTCCACAGGCTTGTCTGCATCTGTTGGTTTTTTTCTTTTTCTTTTTTTTTTTTTTTTCTTTCCAGTAATAACCATTCTGACTGGTGTGAGATGGTATCACACTGTGGTTTTCATTTGCATTTCTCTGATGACAGTGATGTTGAGCATTTTTTCATGTGTGCTGGTTGCTCGTATGTCTTCTTTTAAGAAGTGTCTGTTTATTTCTTTTGCCTACTTTTTAACGGGGTTGTTTGTTTTTGGCTTGTTGAATTGTTTTACTTTCCTTATAGATTCTGGAAATTAGAACTTTGTCAGATGCAGTTTATGAATAAAATTTTCTTCTATTCTGTAGGTTACCTGTTTATGCTGTTGATGGTTTCTTTTGCTGTGCAGAGGCTTAGTTTAATTAGGACCCGCTTGTCAATTTTTGTTTTTTTGTTGCAATTGCTTTTGAGGACTTAGTCATAAATTCTTTGCGGAGGCCAGTGTCCAGAATGGCGTTTCCTGGGTTTTCCTCTAGGATTCTTATAGTTTGAGGTCTTACATTTATCTTTAATCCATCTTAAGTTAATTTTTATATATGGTGAAAGGTAGGGGTCCAGTTTCATTCTTCCGTATATGACTAGCCAACTATTCCTGCACCATGTATTGATTAGAGAGACCTTTCCCCATTGCTTATTGTTGTTGACTTTGTCAAAGATCAGATGGTTATAGGTGTGCAGTTTTATTTCTGGTTTCTCTATTCTCTTCCACTGGTCTATGTGTCTGTTTTCATACCAGTATCACACTGTTTTGGTTACTGTAGCCTTATGTAAATATAATAGCATAATTTGAAGTCAGATAATATAATGCCTCTGCCTTTGTTCTTTTTGCTTAGGATTACTTGGGCAATTCAGGCTCTTTTTTGGTTCCAAATGAATTTTAGCATATTTTTTTATTTTTAAAATTAACTGTTATCTTTAGTATAAAATAAAGACTGCTTCACCAACTTGTGTGTCCTCTTTGTGCAGGAATCATGCTAATTTTATTTGTATAATTCCAATTTTAGTCTATGTGTTGCCAATCAGCACTAGAATATTTTTTTCTAATACTGTGGAAAATAATCTTCGTAGTTTGGTAGGAATAGTATTGAATCTGTAGACTGCTTTGGCAGTATGATTATTTTAGCAAAAGGAACACGGCATTGGGGGAGGAGAAAAGAGAATGTGTCAGGTCTCAGAATTATTGAACTTAAGTTGCACATGGGATTCTTCTGGAAGAATTGTATAGTGGGCAGTTTGCAAATACAGCACTGGCATCGGGGAGAATCAAAGCTTGCATTGTTGGCTTTTCTTAATGCTTAACTCAAATAATTACCTTTGAATGTTTGTGCTTACACAACTCACTTTTCTATAGGTTGACATTTAATTTGACTTTTGAGTAGCCTTTCATGTACTTACCTTTCTCGGCCTGAGCTTTTGAACTCATTTGCAGAATCAATTAATTTTAAAAAGCATTTTATTTAGAAATAATTTTAAACTGACAGATTGTCAAGAATTCTATAGAGAACGCTGCTATTCCCTTTATGCAAATTCACCCATGTTTATCCATTTGTCACATTTTGCCACACTTGAGCTCTTGTGCATACAGGCACTCCCTCCTCACCCTCCCTGTCTGCACACACACATTAATTTTTTTCTGAGCCATTTAAAAGTACTTTGCAGACATCGTGACCCTTTACTCCTCAGTGTGTGTGTATTCAGTCTATATTTTTTAAGAACAAGACAATAATAAAATTCAGAAAACTTAATATTGATGTAATACCTTAATCTCTAATCTTATGCCAAATTTACCAATTGTCCTAATAATGTCATTTAAAGCAATTTTTGGTACGTTATCTAGTCCAATAACACACCGATGTTCCATAGAGGTTCTAGGGAACAAATACATTATTTTGAAAACATTTAGGCCAGGCACGGTGGCTCATGCCTGTAATCCCAGCACTTTGGGAGGCTGAGGCAGGCGGATCACCAGGTCAAGAGACCAAGACTATCCTGCCCAACATAGTGAAGCCCCATCTCTACTAAAAATTCAAAAATTAGCTGGGCATGGTGGCACACGTGCCTGTAGTCCCAGCTACTCGGGAGGCTGAAGCAGGAGAATCACTTGAACCCAAAAGGTGGAGGTTACAGTGAGCAGAGATTGCGCCACTGCACTCAAGCCTGGCAACAGAGTGAGACTCTGTCTCAAAAAAAAAAAAAAAAAGAAAAAAGAAAACATTTAGTTGTTACAAATTATTTATAATGTGGACTTTAAATAGTTCATTCAAGAATGAACCACCCCATTCCTTTTAAGCAGATCCGCCCAGTCTTGAAAGGACCAGATTTATGAAGACAAATTTCCCTACGCATTCTCTGAAGTGTCAAGTTGCTATTTCTAACACATACACAAAAAAAATTCAGAGGGAAATATTTGGAAATGTTCCTATTGTTGTGTGCCTAGGAGGTGACAAGAAACGAAATTGTTCCCTGCTTCTCTGTCAAAATCCTGGCATGTAGACCTTCTGTTTTCTCAATTAATTATAGAATTTTGACTGCTGAATGGGCATTCTTTAACCTGGGCTGACCATTTGGAATTTAAAATTAGCAGAGTAATTATATTTACTGGGCCATTGATTCAAGGAAAATTGAGCTCGGCTGATGAATTTGCATGTCGTGAAATGGGTCATGACAGCAGATGGTCTTCTAAGAGGCAAAAAATAACTTTGATGTTGGTTGCTCTTTCTCCTTGACTTCTTTCGTTGAACCCTGCTGCAATAATGTGAATGCTGAAAGCAGGTCAAGTGAATTTGGGATGTCTGGATGGATAATCAAGGAGAGTTGTGAGCTGTCAAAGAAGAATATTTTGATCTTAAAATAAATCACCGTATATGGATATCTGAATATAAAGTTAATGATGTGTTCAATCACCATCATCATTAACATTTATTAAGTCCTCCCTCTCACAGGTGCTATTCTAAATGCTTTACATGTATTGACTTGTTTAATCTTCACCAAAACCAATAAGCAAGGATCATTATCATCTGCATTTTATAAATGAGAACATTGAAAGTAAGAGAATAAATTGACCAAGTTCAAATAAATTGTTTTGGTTTTTGTTTCTTGTCATGTGAAATAATTGAAGCTGGAGGAGATTTTGTCTGTATTAAACTCAGGGAGGTCATATTTAGATTGTGGTTTCTAAATACCATTTCCCACTAAAAGAAGCCAGGGCACCTTGGAGAAATGGCTGATTTGACATCTGGAGCTAGAAATGTACAAGATAAGCATAGAACATCTTGTCATACCAAATGGCAGGAAAAGGACTTTTTTTTTTTTTTAAGGCTCTTATTGGGCAAAGAGGAACAAATTTGAGCATTAATAAAAAGGACAATTAAAATGGATGTCAACAAATAGAAAATATTTGTTGAAACACATATTTAAATCCATTGGTTTATAATAGCACACATCTGGTATTTTTTAGAGGCTCTAGGGAATCAGTGCACTATTTTGAAAGCTGATCAATTGGGAGAAAGAATCAAGCAGGTTTTTTTCCTCCTCTATATGAACTGTATCTCAGTGTAACCAAATATTTAACAAGGGCAAATTTCTTTTTACATAAGTAATCTACCCAACAAATGAAGTAGGAATAATTAAAATATCAGCATTTGAATTACTAGGAATTAATGTTTCTCAGCAATGATCAACAATGGCTGGTAACATTTAAAAAGTGACATTTTATGACTCTTGATGGAAGTACTCCACACTACCTGTGTAAGAGTCTTGCTTTAAAAAAATCCGTTTAAGCATCTGTATCTAACAGGAATTACAGAGGACAGAGGAACATGTTAAGTGACACTATGGGGATGAAATCAGAAAAATCCAGACTATGAGAAACTCAGGGGAAAGAGTCTATTTCTTCTACGCAACAACAATAACAATAGTGAAAGACAAATGTAAGGAGGAAGAATGTTTACATTAAAAGAGACTTAAGGACTGGGCATGATGGCTTATACCTGTAATTCTAACACTTTGGGAGGCTGAGATGGGAGGATCTCTTGAGCCCAGGAGTTCAAGACCAGCCTGGGCAACATAGCATGATCTTTCTTTCTTTCTTTTTTTTTTTTTTTTTTTTTTAAAAAGAGAGAGACTCTTAAAAACTTATAATTAGCCAACAGCAATATATAGGGCTTTTTGGATTCTATTTCAAATACACTTAAAACAAAAAACAGCAAAACAAATTACAGCCAGAACATTTATAAATAATCAGGAAAACAGAAACATTGATATTAAAGAATTATAATTACAGTTTGGGAGACAGGATGATGATGTAATTATATTTAAAACAGAGTCTTTAGAGATACATACTAAAATATTTCAAATGAAATTGTGTGATGTCTAGCTAGGAGTTGCTTCAAAATAATTAGGAGAAGACAGGTACAGTGGCCCAAGCTCGAAATTTCACCTACTCAGTAGGCTGAGGCAAGGGAGATTGCTTGAGCCTGGGAGTTTAAGTCCAGTCTGGATAACTTAGTGAAACCCTGCCTCTAAAAAATAAAAATAAAAATAAAAATAATTGGAAGTGATTGGGGAAATGCGTAGGGCTATTAAAAAAAAAAAACTAATGACAATTATTGAGCTGGATGATAAGTATGTGGAGTTCATTCTTTTATTCTCTCTGCTTTCACATATATTTGAAAGATTCCATATAAAAACTGTTCTTAATGTGGTTCATACATCCAGAAATGCAAATTTATTTGTGGCTATATGATATAACGCAATGTTTCTTAAAATATATTCTTTGGAACATTAGTTCCAAATAATAAGTTGGTTCCCATTAAGAGATTTCCTTCATATAACAGTTTTTGAGATTAGATTAGAAAATGCTGAATTAGGGGGCAAGATTGCTGAATATTCTACCAATTGCCTCCTCACAAGAACACCAAATTTAATAACTATCTATACAAAAAACACCTTCATAAGAACCAAAAATCAAATGAGCACTTCCGGTACCTGGCTTTAACTTCATATCACTGAAAGAGCCATGGAAGAGGGTAGGAAAGACAGTCTTGAATTGCTAATGATATCTCTCCCTTGTACTCTAGTAGTAGTTGTATAGATCATAGAGAGACTCTGTGTGCTTAGGAGAGGGAGAGCACAGCGATTGTGAGACTTTGCATTGAACTCAGTGCTGCCCTGTCACAGTGGAAATCAAAACCGGGCTGAACTGAGCTGATGCCAACCCACAGAGGGAGTATTTAGACCAGCCCTAGCCAGAAAAAAGTCAGAATCGCCCATCCCAGCAGGTGATAATTGAGTTCTAGCAAGCCAATAGCTTTAGCAACCGCAGGCTAAAGTGCTCTGGGGCTCTAAATAAACTTGAAAGGTAGCCTAGGCCACAACTCCTAGGCAAGTTTCAGTGCTGTGCTTGGCTCAGAGCCAGTAGACTTGTGGGGCATGAGGACACTCCCCTGGGGTGTTTAAGGGAGCATCTGTGCCACCCCTCCCTCAAAACCAGGCAGCACAGCTTTTGGTTCCAAAAGAGACCCTTTGCTTCCATCTGAGAAGAGGAGAGGGAAGACTCAAGCGGAGTTCATCTTGCATCTTGGACATCGGCTCAGCCACAACAGGATAGGACACTGGGCAGGCCGTGAGGCCCCCATTTCAGGCTCAAGTTCCTGCATGACATTTCTAGACATACCCTGAGCTGGAAGAGAACCGACTACCTTGAAAGGAAGGACTCAAAGGGACCTAAGAGATATTTACAGAGCATTTCATCCAACAGCTACAAAATACAAATTATTTTCCTCAGCACATCAATGATTTTCAAGGATAGATCATATGTTAGATCACAAAACTAGTCTTATAACATTAAGAAATTGAAATAATATTAAGCATCTTCTCTGACTACAATGGGAAAAAAATCTAGAAATCAATAACGAGGAATTTTGGAACCTATACAAACACATGGAAATTAATATATTCCTGAATTATCAGTGGGTCAATGAAGAAATCAAAAGGAAATCAAAAATTTTCTTGATACTAATAATAAC